TTCCCCCAAAACTGCTGTTTCTTCAAATCACTTTCTTCACTTTTTGTATTTTATTCATTTGTTCTTTCATTTCACTCATCAGAAGAACTATTTACAAATTTTTCACTATTCTCATCATTTTCCCAGTGGTAAAACCTTTTAACACAAAGTCAGTGCCAGGCAACATCTATTACACTTCTTCCCTTTCTTTCTTTCTTTCTTTCTTTCTTTTTTTTTTTTTTTGCCACTGCACTCATGGCAGCTGTCTGGCAAGCAGTATGCAAATCATACTGCAAGTAGTCTTCTTTCGATCTGCAGTTTTGACCACCTTGATTACTTTTTTCCTCCTGAAGAAGCTGTGCAGTTGGATAGAAAAAGGTTTTCTGTGGTTCGTCTCCTGCAGTTTTGCCTAGAAGCTGTTTTTTCTCACTTCAGACTACCATATTACTTTCTGCAGAATGTATATTGTTCTAAATTGCCTGCATTCCTCCGCATTCAGCCTCTCTCCTACTCTGTGAGTTTATTTATCTTAAGTTTCCACATTTGTTCTGTCCTTATCTCTGAAAATTTCACTCACACAAGTTGTTTGGACATTATTCTTCAAGGTTTAATCTACTTCTTTGCCCAATCTCTCCCAAAGTTCAGACACACGAGCCCCATGAGAGCTCTGTTTAAAGCTATGAAATCGTTATGAAATCTTCATGTTTGGAAAATTGCATATGAAATCTTTATGAAATCTTAATGTTTGGAAAATTACATATGATGATATGGTTCTCCCCTCTGTAATTTGTACAGCTCTTTGCTTTCTGATAAATGTACTCGATTGAGACTTTTTTGGTTTAAGACGACCTAATTCAAACAGTTTTTCCATTCTCCTCAGTTTGGGACTCCATTCCTGTTAATTAGCTCATTTCCTATCATATGAATCACCTACTTACTCTAAGAGCTGCTTTATTTTCCTCCTAATCACACTCATGTCTTTTGTTGTGGTTTTCACTAGACTGCCTTCCTGTCACCACGTTTCATGTTTGCTGGGTAATAACATGAAAGAGCTGCACGCTTCTGAAAAACCCAGTCTCTATATTGCTTATTAACAAGCCTATTCTTACTACTGCTAGTGGAGCTATGAGTAAAAAGACTGATCCTACCTCCAAGTGTTTCATCTAAGCTCTTTTTCACAAGTTCCTTACAGACTGCTACAAACTGTCTTCACTAACCTAAAATGGTCCCTTGGAGTTTGCTGTATATACTCAGCCCCACCAAAGATTATCATGAGACTGTCAATATTCTTCCCTTTGCAGATGTGGTGCAGTCTCAGAGGGAAATAGGATAAGGTGCACTAAGTATCATAAAAGCAAGGGCTATACTATAAAGTAATTCAGCATCTGTGCTCTAATTATGATACTAAAGATTGCCAAAAGTGCTTGAGGTATGTATATATTATAGTGAATTTGTCACTCAAAAAATAATTGGGTATACTTGGTAGCAAATATATATACTGAAACAACATATATTAAAATATAAAAATATATATGAATATTTTTAAAATTAGGACTTGCTGTATATATAATAATGTATATATAATAATAAATATATTACCAAGACCTAATTTTAAAAAATAAGCCAAATAAGCCAAACCCATGAAATGTAGGTTTGTGTTATAATTACCCATGTGTGTTTGTGTGTATTTCTGGCCATCTAATTAAGGAAAACAAAACCCACTGTTATCAATTCCTTCCTTGTTCTTCTCAGCTCGTTGTAAACATCTGACGTATTTTTATTCCCTTCCTTTGCAGTAAATATAGATCTTATGGAATGTATGGCTGATGGTTTCAGGTTACTAGTATAAACTTTACCAGCTTTTCATTATACAGAGCAAGGAAAATGTGGAAGATGTTCTGAAAATTTCAAAAATAGTTTTACCTTTCAGTTATTAGGTGAAGTAGAGATGGATCAAGAAGGAAAAGTGAATTTAAATGGTGGATTTGTCATACTTTTCCTACAAACAGCCATATTCACTCAGGTTGAATTAATTTAAGAATACTTTGCCTGTTGCACTATTTAAAAAAAAAAAAAACTCTGCAGACTCAATCCAGGGTATTTTAACCCCTGGCAATTCAACCACAAAGGTCTGCTTTTTCTTGTACATACTAAAGAGTCATTAATCTTCATTGCCAATGCACACAGGTGCTAGCTGGCTCGCGTCACTGGTGCCAGGGTCATTTTAATTATCTTCCTAAATTTGTTCGTAACCAGGTGGTTAGCTGGTTGGAAGCTCTTCGCTTAGTAAATTAAAGGCTGGGGATCTAGGAGTAATTGCTATCTGTAGTTTCCTGCAATTAGAAAAGAATGGAGCTCATGTGCATGTTCTATACTACTAACTTACAAGTCACTGCCACTGCCACTTAACTCCTATATTCATAAAGCTTAAAGCCAGAAAAGGTGGCAAAATAATGGGTTCAAACTCTTTGTGTGTCTTGGACCATTGGATTCTGCACGTTTGACTTACATAATAGAAGCCAATGGAACCTCATAAAGATTTGAGAGTCTTTAAAATTCTTCACATTTAATTTCAACATTTCTAATATAGTCTAGATTAAGAAAAAAAACCCTTTTTTGAGTAAGAAGAATTCACAAACATCACTAATTTTGATCAACAGAGATCTTTGATTCTGAAACTTCAGGAAACAGGTGACATAGACCATGTGCCATATGGGAACTTGAGGCAGGCTAACTGAAATGAGTTTCCCCTGCATTTGCAGCTCTTCTATCCGGGTTTAATCACATACAAACGTGAGCAAACAAACTTATCGTTCCATAAGCACTGGGACTAATCAAGTGTTTGTCTTCTCATCATTATAGTCATTAATTGAATTTGATATCAAAAAAGGTGCAAATTTCTACCGAACCCTTCCATGCAGCAGGGGACTTATAAGGGCTCTTTCCTGGTTTAATTCTTTGGTATCTAATCAGATGTAAGTTAATATCATAATTTTTCCTTTATTAAGGCACATACTGTTTTCCCTCCTCTACCCAGCCAGATTTTAATGATGTTCTTTAAGAATTTCTTTCTGTAATTTCCACCTCTGTGCCAAATTAGCTTGAAATCAGTTAATAGATTCAAAAGTTATTAGAAGTTCAGGGATGGAGGTGGCAGACAAACATATTATGATGAGACAGCACAATCACATAAGTCTTTCTTCTGAAGGAACTCAAGTTAAAAAGGAAATACAGGACATCTATGCACTTATTAAAATTAATGTGTAACATTCTACTTTGATTGAGGATTCATAAATCAATAACTTTCCCATATCAACATCCAATAGTTATCCTTCTTGTTATTGTAACCTAAAAATAATCTAAAAATACTAGTCATAGCTATACATATTTAGGATTCCGAAGAAGCCCTACTCAAAGGATAAGTATACGCTGACATGTCATCTTCTGTACCAAAAAACATTTGAATTAGAAAAAGCACATTTTGAGGCACATGGTTAGATTGGATGAATTCTGTTATGCCTTCTAAGAACTTGATGAAATTTAGTGTAAACAATTAATAATTTTGGACTTTTTTTGGCTACTTGGCCAAACTATTACGACTATTCCTAGGATGATGTGGGGGAAAAGACATTAATTTTGAATCAAACATAGAAGGAAAAGAAAAGGCTGGGAAATTTAAATAAGGTATCTCTTTTGAATATTTATTATATTTATTGTCAGTTACAGAAAACTGTAGTGTCTTATTGATGTCAAAACAAAAACACATTTCAGAATTTTAAGTTACACAGTGAAGAAACATTCTGTTGTTAGTTTTGCATTCATTAGAGTTCATTAGCTACGGAAAAAGAGCCAGATTGCTTTACCCACATTATTAACAGATAAATGTTTGGCCTTTTTTACTGTTAGACAACAAACAAAAGTCTTTTAGAAGTCTTTTAGTCTTCCTAAGGATTAAAGCATTCAGGAACCCCATAAATATTTACCTATCAACACAAAGGGTGGAAAGAACAATCAATGTGTCCCATACAGTCAGACTGATCTGAAGTCTTCAGAACTGAGCTCTAAAGTTATGCAAATTTAGTGAATTTGAATCTCATCTTTTAGGTGTTTTCCTCATGTTCACACAGAGAAATCAGTGGCAGATCTGGGAAGTAAATTTAGGTGTTCTAAGAGCAGATTCATCCCTTGAATCCCCCTAAAGCTCCTGCCACAGAAACTAAGAAACAGAGACCAGATATCCAGAATATGATAGATATCACAGATATCCAGAATATGAGGTAGGAAACTGAACTTGTAGGGTATTATTCTTGCTCTCCCACAAGGTTCATTCCTATCTCTCTGGATGTAGGTCAATACTCTCTCTTAGTTTAACTAAGAGGAAGGAATGCATCTAGAAAAACATGGGAGGTTTTTAAGGTAGTGGAGCTGTCTCTACTGGCAGAAGAGCTACATGATCTTTCCCACATTGAGGATTTCTTCAGTATCTAAACAAGCATCTAGGTAGGTAAGAAATTTGATAGCATTTTAATCTATGGCTTTTGAGGAGGTTCAAGACACTCTTAAGCTTCTGTTTTGATTCTTTTGATTCCCTCTTAGAGTTAAGGTAGGAACTGCCTGGTGATAACTCAGCCTTTGAATCATTAAAGTAGTTTTTTATCTTTAAGTCATCACATCATAGCTTCCTTAACAGCATCTGGTGTCTTTTGTTTCTTTTAGATTAAAATGTTTACCTTTCAGTTCTATTTCCCTCACTGCTGTTTTGGAAAGTGGGCTTTCTAAAGGTAATAATCTTGGTGAATGGGCTGCAGGAGTTGGCAGTCCTGTGTTGTATTCCCCATAGTTTGTTTGTTTGTTTGTTTGTCAAGATAAAAATTCTCTACCAATCCACAAAATGGATTTTCCAAATATCTACCAAATATATTTTTCTGCTCAGTCCTCCATTAAGATGATTTTCAGGTAAAATGCTGAGAAAAACAGATAAAATAGAGGCACTAGGACAATTAAATGTACTTACATCAATTATTGAAACGTTATAAAACAGACAGCCAGAATCCTTTTTAGTCTGTTTGAAAGCAAAATAATTTTTTTACAACATTTTACATAATTTAGGGATTAGCATTTATCTATTTCATGCTTACCCAATAACTGTTTTTCTATCATCTAGCTGAACTCAAGGCTTCTTCTTGAGGTGCCAATGTTGTACTGAATACAGTGAGACTTCAAAGAGATGATCGTTATTGCACCACCATCTAGGATGGTATTCTACTGACTTAATTTTAGCCTGCTAGAAATCAGGCACATAATCTAACCTAGTGATCTGAGTTCTTCAATAAGCAATAGAAAAAGAATGGTATTTCTGGAGTGCAATTTGTCCCACTTACGTATCTTAGATATTTACCTTAGGATGAACTGAAGCACTTTGGAAAACACTTATCTTGTTGGATTTATTTTGATTAAATATTGAAGCACATTGTTAATGATCATTCCATATTTTTTTCTGAGTATGCTTCATGATTCTTTCAGATCACTATTTCAATGCATATTACCGTAGCAGCCAAAGAAGAAGTGGAAAAGAAAAAGGAAACCATGGTGAAATACCTTCCCATTTTTCTCCAAATTTAAACATGTGAAGCTCGGAAGATTTTGGATTAATTTTAGTTAGTTGCACCAGGAAAATTCCTACACACAAGAAAGATCACAGTCAAGGTTCACATTTCAAATTTTTAACACAGTTCAAAGGCACTAATCAGAACCTGGGTCATTACACTGAGATCTGTCCAGTTCAGCCGAGCCCAGGCAAACAGTCAGGTATGGTTAAGGTGAGCCAGCATCTGCCATGTAGTCAGCGATACACGAGGGAGTGACAGTGGCAGTTGCCTTTCCGGCTACCTCGAATGGCCTAATTCCGATTATCCCCTTTCTGCACCGGGTCACTTGGGGACAGCCCTCACTACTGTAGGACGTAAGACTCAGACCTGAGCCTCTGGATTCATAGCAAGAGGCCGTACCCACTCTACGTTTGCCATGTCTTCTTAGTCAGAGCTGCTTAGATTTCTCTAGTAATGTTGTTTCCTCTGTTATAGTCCTCTTAATGAGAAGATAGCTCAAACGCCTGCAACGAACACCATAGAAGGAAAGAGAGCATTAGATTATTACAGTAGATTATTACTGAAATAAGAACAGAAAATGCAAAAGTTAGATAGTTGTCTCATTTCTTCACGGAACACAATGCAAAGCTGTAGAAACACCTCAAAGTTTAATCAGTAGCCTTATGCAAATGTATTGGTTAGAGAGCCATATGGGAGAAAATCTACCTAGTAATTTGACTATTTTCATGTGTTTCATGCAAATAAATATAGGTATGGGATTTCTTATTGAATAATTCCATAATGATCTATGAAAATATATCTCTTGGGTAATGGTACTAGTGTATGACATCTATTCATATCAAAGACAACATTTTAATTAAAAGGACATTTTAGCTTTTTTTTCTTTAAAGAAGATGCCCAGCAACCACAAGTTTCTGAATATTAACATAGGAAGCTAGCTATTTAATATAACATGTCAATAATAATGAAGGTACATCCTGTAATTGAAGAAGCAAGCCACTGGCAGAGTGAGAATTAGCCTGCATGAATAGCAAGAGGCAGTGAAATGAGAAACATATTTCTTACTGCTTTTATTAAATTAAACAATCAAACCATGGCACTTTGAATGTTTGTACTATTTCTTTTAAGATCATCTAGCAATAGCTCATTTTCATTCTTTAAATTTTGCATGATTTTCTTAGTGCCACAGTTTTATTTTGTGGTATTGGAACACATGTTACATCTTCTGTGGCTTTCTGGTAGCATGTGTTGCCAGCTCCTGTAATTCCTCTGGAGCCTTCCTCCTTTTGCTGCTTTTTCTTAAACCTCAGCTCTTGGAGACAAAGAATGAAAACTGTTCCAAACAGATTCCAGTTTTAAGCTAAAAAGACAAAAATTACTCTCATCTGTAAAGAATAGTTTGAAAATGAGGTATGAGCACACATACAGATTCAAAACCCATGAGGCAAATAAAAATAATTACATTTACATTTTTAAGTATTCTTTTGGGTGTGTTGAGGATAGACTTCTCCTACGTTTTTATGAGTGTCCGGAGTTGGCAAAACCATAACGTTATCTGTCCCTATCACAGGAGAAGACTCTATCAGAGAAGAAATGTGATTGTTCCCTTCAACTATATTACAACTCTGAGATAAAGCTTTACTGTAACAGAATGTTATCTCTGAAACTCAATTTTATCTTTTTTATAAAAAGTAATATAAGATGGAAAAGAGGGAATTAGTTTGTCCTTGAATATAATGCTGATATTTGGCTCATGGAAGAGTGGCCATCAGTTAATGCAGGGAAGTGCAATGGGAATAACTGAGGTAGCAATTTTGAGTAGCACTATTAAAACTCATATAATAGCAGACAGCGCACTCATATAACAGCAGACAATGCAAGGGAGGAAAATTATTATGAAATATATGTACATTTATTGAACTTGTCCCAAGAGGTTGTAGTAACCTGCCTAGGAATATGTTTTTTTTCTTATCCACTGTCTCACATCATCTTAAAATGATGGAAGGACACATCAAGGACACCGTATCATATTTTTAAGTGCTTGATTTTAATGCTTATGTCCCTTTTATTTTTGCATAATGCTTTTGAAAAAGATATTTGCTCCTACTGTAGACAGGATTGTTCTATTGTCACCTTGCCAGCTGATGTGAAAAGCTTTTCTAACAAATATTCAAAATTAGAAACTGGAGAGGAATTGCTTGCAAACAGGTATAGTACAGCAAGAGAAAAAGCCTTCAAGACCTCCCTCAAGAAAAAAAAGTTTTAAGTATTGTATATTTTGTAATTCTTTCTTTAAATGAGCTGACATTCTGCCATTTTAATCCAGCATCTACAGAAGAAGACAATGCTATAACAAGAAAAAAGACAGCGAGAAGTTTGTTTCTTTGGTAGCTAACGCTCTGTTGCCACCTCTACACAGCTTGCTTACCTAAGTCAGTGCTATGCCATGATTACACTACTTTTTTCTACCAGTACAGTACTGCTTGAGCACTCTCCAACAGGGTACTCTTCCTTGCTGCTCTGCTGGGTACCTTTCCAATGTATCCACATACTATGAAGCAAAGGGAAAAGCTTAAGTGGATGGTAGCACCTAACCTCACTTACATTTCCCTATCTCAGCTTCCTCATCAAGCTGTCTATGCACATCCTTCAGGGATCTGTCTCCCATAATTTGTTATTCACTCTCCCTGGTCATCTAGCTTTCACCTAGGTCTAGGACTAAATGCCCAGTTCTAAAGCACCATTCTCTGATCAGCCCTTCTGTTGTAGAGATCCTCTTTGACTCAGTCTTACTTTTTCTGAAGCCTATCTCCTACAATTTGTTTTTTCCCTCTCTTGCTGACACCTTTCCCCAATCTACCTCTTCCTTCTCCCCCACCTCCCCAATAAAATTTGGGGAAAAGGGGGAAACAAAACAGCTCCTGTTCATGTCAGTCAAGCCAACATCCCTAGGTAGTTTCACCTGAACAGGGTAGCACTAAAGGAGAATTAAAATGTATGCTGTATGTGATCTGGCAGCTGTGAGACCCTACACTGATAGATTTCCTCATAATAAGCAAGATCCTAACAAAAGCGGGCAAGTGTTAAGTTGCCCCTGAATACTCACAGATACAGAGTTCCCAGGAGTTAGCTCTTTCCATGCTTTCAGACTCTGCCCCTTGCTGGTAATCAAATCTTACAGCCCAGCGCAGCCCTGACTGTAGGAAAGTGTTGGAGACTTGGCTCTTGGTTTCTGCTTTGTGCAAAACCATCTTCAATGTCAAAGAACAGCGCAGAGTGGCTGGACACAACCTTGTGGCCCCAAAGAGAGAGCTTATGCGGCATCAGCTCATCCATTGCATGTGGAGAGATGGGAGAGACTAGGAAGAGCACAGGGCTGCAACACAAATCCTAACACATGCAAACAGTCTCTATGTTGGCCAAATTCCTATTATGGGTTGGAAGTTTCTAGTAAAACCATTATTATGAGCCAGTAGCTGGTTTAACGCTGTTCTGTAATCGAAAGACTAATAGAGTTCGAGTGCAAATCCTGATGGTTTTGAGTTTATTTAATGACACTCCAATATAAAATATGTACACAGGCAGGGAAATTTCCACCAATGTTTGTGGTGGAACTGAACTGAAAAAAAGTTAAAGAGAACACCAGCAAAGTAAGGAGAAATCATAGACTGATGCCCACTGGGCGATGTTCGCTAAGTTTTGCTGTCCATTAACCAGTAGATGCAGAAGAGTGACTGTTTTTACAGCATCAGAAGTATCAGACTGTTTGAGCAATGCAACATATACCAAATTTTACCTACTTATGAAGCAGCCAGTATGCAATAAAAAAGGGATTACTCATTAATTAAGGAAATACTGATTCCTGAGCCAAGGTAACAAAAATCAAGCCCCAAATAAAAGCTAGTGAATGATTGCTGTCAGCAATTTCAGGCAAAATGAATAAAGTCAAACAGATATTAAAAAATCTTCCAGCAATGTGACTACCTAGAAAGGATTTTTTCCTTTGTATTTACCAATAGAAAATATTTCTGTCTGTATTTTAGCATTCAATACAAACACTAAAGTACACATTTTAATATATATTTTGAAAAAAATTCCATGTTAAAAGGAACAAAAAGCCACGATTTTTTAAAGGCAAATTATAAAAAAGATTCATGTGGGAAGAATATAGATTCTATTGACTTTTATCTGTAACAGGAATCTGTTATAGCAGTTTCACTTGAGAACAGAACCAGAAAAGAAGGTAATAATTTTAAAATAGGTGATTTTTTGAGAAGTACTTTATATCGGTGTATGTTAAGAAACTTGGGCCCCAGTGCAAGTAATGCTGCAGAATGACAGAACAGAGACATATTCCACTAGTACTATACATTTTTAAAGTCCTTCCCTTCCCTTCCCTTCCCTTCTTTTCCCTTCCCTTCCCTTTCCTTCCCTTCCCTTCCCTTCTTTCCTTTTCAGAAGTAAAGTTTTTCACGCTGTCATGTTCAAAGCCTTATTGCATGATCATCTCCTGTAAGTTCTCCCTACAGGAACTGCTGTCACTGAAAAATAAAACATTTAGGGGTTAAAATGGGGGAATTACAGACTATATTTGCAAATAAGGGCCAAATAAAATCCTTTTTATTTTGATTATAACTGAACAAATTTGAGTGTATGGTTAAATATTACTTTAAAAGGTTACTGCTATTTTGCTATTTAATCTTGCATTGTACCTCCCCCCGCAAAAAACAGATTGCCAAAGAATCCATGTGGAGTTAGTCAATTTTTTCTAAGGAAGAAGCTCGCATCTACCCAAACTCATCTCCATTCTAACTTTAATTCTCAATGTCACACAAGCTGAGATTTTTTGGTCATGTGCAAAAATTCAATCAGTGTAAGACTCATGTGCTGCTATCTCTCTCTTTGGTGGAGGAATAGAATAAAAACCTTTTTATATCAGCAAAAGTTTTTAATTTAAAAAAGCTTGGCATCAGTTGCCAAATAGGCAGTACTGAACTTCTAAACATCTTAGTTATCCTCAAAAGCATGAACATGTGAAGTGAATGGCCATACCTAATTTATTTATACCCTGATATCTAGGAAGCACTGGTGGAGACAACAGCAAATCAACAAGGATACATTTCTTTCTTCACTTACCTTTCATGATTATTCTTTTCTGCACAGGTGGCAGTTTTGCTACATACTGTGCATTAATATAATCACGTCAAACAAAGACTGAAACTTTAAATAAGGAAATTCATGCTGCTGTTTTCTTTGTCAGGAATGTAACATTCTCAGTCCAAAAAAAATGCTAATTACCAATTTGAAGTCAATGGTTTGGACTCTGGGCCAACATCCAACATCTATCACTTTCTTTACTCTCAGCTGAACGCATTTCTTATAACAATCTCTTTTGCTTCACAAGATGTTGGAGATCTAGCGTTTAATCATTATTTTTAGCAGAAGAGGTGAGTCTTTGAGGTTTAAAAAATTTATTTACATATGCTTATTAAAAATGCCTGCC